ATATTCAATTATTATACAAATAGAATTAATATCATAAGAGAAAATATAAAATATACATTTATATCTTTTATACAAAATATATAAAACATATAAAATATGAAAAATATTGTATATTTGCATAAAAATTCACCATCTAATTATTCAATAATGATTAAATAATTGATTATTATATAAATTGTAATATTATATACGATTATATTTTATTATTTACTTTTTTTTTCAATTGTCTATTTTAAAAATAACGATAATATGTTCGATTTATTTATAAAAGTAAATTTGTAAAGTTTTAAATTCGAATTGAAGAAATGAAGTAATATATATATAAATATGTGATAAATACATATTAAATGATCAAAAAAATTTTTTTATGATAAAAAATTTAAAATAAAGAATCATTTATAAAAAAAAACTCGTGTAAAGCTGTTTTACAAATATTTATGTAATTGTTAGATTTAATTTAAATTATGTAATAGATCATATTACAATAGAATTATATACATAATTATATATATAATTATATAATTATATTATATATATTATATATATATATTTTATAATAGAATTATATATTTTGCATATACTATATTATTATAGGAAATTTATGAAATATTTCCGAAAAAATTATCACAAAATTCATAAATTAAAATTTCTTATTTAATTCTCATTCTCTTGAGATTTTCCTTTTAGATTATTATACAATTATTCATATAAAATTACTTTTATTATTACGTTTTCACATATCTTATATACTTCGTATACTTCATAAATTTTACCAACAAGTGTGTTAGTAAATTAAAATTAAAAGAGATATTGATTTTAATGAAATTTTGTAAAATATAATGGATTATACATAGATTAATTTCTTTTTAATAGAATATTCTTTTCAAGTAATAAAATTAATCTAAAAATATTTTTTTTGGTTTTTAAAAAATTTTGTTTATAATTTTGTAATCAAATATTCTTATATTCGAATATTTTATTAATTGAATATTTTATTATCCGAATTATATACTTATATTATATATTTATATAAATATTTATATATTCTTTGTTTTTATTGGGAATATTTAAAAAATTAGAAAATGATTAGAATTACAGAATTAATAGAAATATATAATATTGAAAAATTTGAAAACAATAAGAATAAAAAATTTGCAAAATGCATGTTCCATTAAATAAAAAAAATTAAAAACATTGTATAATTTGGCAATTCTCTCTAAAAAAAAATATGAAATTCTACTTTAAAATTTTATAATAAAAACTGTTTTTTATATCAATTTGTTATAAGTATTATTTTTCTTAAAATAAAGTCTGAATTCTATTATAAAATTCTTTTATTTCTTATAATTTTTATATGTCTTGTCTTCCTATTAATTCGATAATAGAATATTATACTAATAATTCTTTTATTTGAATTATATCATATATCTATTGTCATTTAAAAATATCATAAAAAAATATAAATTATTATAAAATTGGTAAATTTAAAAACGATAACAGAGAAGTAAGAACGATGACAAAAAGATAAATAAGCTGATGAAAATATATAAGTAGTTTTGTTCAGATATATTTATTTGAAAATAATGTAATAATAATCAAGTAACAGAATAGCTAAAAATGGGCAAAGAAAAAAAGCAGTGGAAAAATTACCGAAGTAAATTATAATTAAAAAAGACGAATGAAATGAAAAAAAAAAGAAAGAATTGAAAATATTTTTAAACAATTAAACAATTAAACAATTCTGAGCATATATTTATAGTTTCGAGATGAAACTAGATAAATCATGTGATAATTTAAATAACGTGATAATAATAATTTGCGAAAAAAACAAAAATAATAAAATTTATATAAATATATATATAATAGTCTTAGATACAATTTATAATATATATAATAATCTAT